TGGGTTTAGAAGTGCCGGACTTAGAAGAGCTGACATTAGCAGACGTGTCTCCTGGATTGGTGCTGGATTTAGATGTACCTGAAGCACTGAACTTAGAAGAGTTGGGTTTAGAAGAGCTGGACTTAGGAGAGTTGGACTTAGAAGAACTGTTATCAGCAGACGTGTTGTCAGAATTGGATGCATTTGAAGAAGTACTGGACTTGGAAGAGTTGGGTTTAGAAGTGCCGGACTTAGAAGAGCTGACATTAGCAGACGTGTCTCCTGGATTGGTGCTGGATTTAGATGTATCTGAAGCACTGAACTTAAAAGAGTTGGGTTTAGAAGAGCTGGACTTAGGAGAGTTGGACTTAGAAGAGCTGTTATCAGCAGACGTGTTGTCAGAATTGAATGGATTTGAAGAAGTACTGGACTTGGAAGAGTTGGGTTTAGAAGAGCTGGACTTAGGAGAGTTGGACTTAGGAGAGCTGTTATCAGCAGACGTGTTGTCAGAATTGGATGCATCTGAAGAAGTACTGGACTTAGAAGAGCTGAATTTAAAAGTGTTGGACTTAGGAGGGCTGAACTTATAAGAGCTAGACGTAGAGCTGTCATCAGCAGGCGTGTCTTTTGGACTGGTGTTGGATTTGGATTTATTTGAAGTAGAAGAGCTGGATTTATAAGAACTAGATGTAGAGCTGTCATATTTTGAACTAGTGTTGGGTTTGGATGCATCTGAAGTACTAGACTTATATTTGCTAGAATTATCATTGGAACTACTAGAACTATGATTATCATTGGAACTACTGGAACTACTGGAACTAGAAGAATCGGATTTATCTGGACTAGGTTTATCTGAATGACTAGGCTTATCTGCGGAACCAATTTGACTTGGACCTTGACGAGGCAAAAGGAGCGAGCTCTGCCCGCCCTTTTCTAATTCAAGATCATTATAACCCCTGCTCAATCGCGCCAACATAACCAGGCATAATCCAATGACCAAAAGCCATATTATTGATATTCGTATTGCAATAACCATTATTGTTCTTTAATAAACTACAGTATTATTTGCTTTATGATATTTTATATGAACGTGAAATATTCGATATTGGTGAAGGTAAAAAACTATGATTATAGATGTATGAGATATTGGTGGGTTGCTTTGCGCTAAAATGAAAGTAGAAAGCGCGAATTGATGATTCGTTGCTGATACAGCGAACGGTAGTTGGCGTACCGAGCGGATATTAGCTGCATAAAGGAAAGTTTACCTCAAATAGTTGCCAAAGCACCTTTGAGGACTAATATAATTTAAGGCCAACGGAAAGAATTTTAAGAACGAAGAAGAAAAACGGTAGATAATAATGATTAATAAGGTAATCCATGATTGACTGTGTGACTTGCATTACACTAGAAAATAAATGTTATAAATAATGCAACATAACAACCTAATAAGTATATGTTAATTAATGAATGATAGGTTCTTGAGAGCCAATTGTAAATATTTTATTTAGGCTACGTAATATATTAAAATTTAATTTGAACCTGAAAAACAAAAACACAATGCCAATTCTGACAAGTAAAGAAAATATTTATATTATTTATATTAACCATCACCGTAAATATATTTCACTTCTTTGTATAATTGATATTAACACTATTAACACTAGATGACAATACGACACGCATGGTTTCAAATGGAACATTTTGTTTATATGTGTACAACCTCCAAGATAAATACACGCCTGCAAAGTAGTTTCGCAAGAATGATTTTGTATCACTTAAAAAATAAGCAATGACTTTAAAACACTAGGTTGAAAAAAAAAATCAATTCTTACAATAAAGAAAAATTTTCCGTTGTAAAGTCTTCGTGAAATTATAGTTCTTATTTGCAAGAAAAAAAGAAGGTTGCATAATTAGCTTCGAATTGATGTAATTTAGTTAGATCATTCATAACGTTAATAATAATGGTATCAGACCATTGGTCAGGTGATCAAATGACCAATTCGAAAATATTTGTTCCACGATATTAATAAGTACGTACGTATGTACAATTGTTTATTGGTTCAAAATATTAGATGGTATATTCCTTTTTTTTTGTCTCGTCCTATAGCAATCTTGTGTGATTAAAATTTTTATTCAACGAGGGGATGATGCTCATCTCAACATTGCACAAGAAAAATATAGCGGTATCGTGTAACAATAAACTTAATTCCAATTTTCATGTAAATTTTTAATAGTTTTTCTTACATGCTATTATAATATCTGGGCGAGTTTTTTGTTTAGAACAAAAATGATAATGTCTTTATATTTAATTATAAAAAGATCTAAGAAACTATATATAATCCTTAATTTTGCGAAATGACTCCCAGGGATGTAATTTCGAAATTTGGTTAAAACTAGCTTATCGTGGGCTAAATTCGGCAATGCCTCCGCAACCATTCGAGCACTGATTTGTAACACATCACTTTCGAATTAATTCATATGATTTTTAAAGCCCCGTAATTATGCAATAAAATGCATTGTCAGCATGTTTATTATCTCGAATAATCATTTCGGGTTAGTGTAGTAATTCAAGTCGATTAAATTTTATGGCTAAGTGCTGGGTTAAACTATTGCTATTACCGTTGGCCATTGCTTGCCAAAATACCATGATTAAGTTCATTCACTAGCCAACGATAATTTTTATTGGGGCCAAATCGGTAAGAAACGAAATCGATTCATTTGCGTAACATTTTTTATTATTCACACATAAATACTAGCCAATCAGAGAATAAATGATAACGCTAAAATATTTTCTCTAAAATGGACATGTTACGATTTTTCTTTTTACCATACGTACACATGTGTATGTTCTTTTTACCATACGTACACATATGTATGTTTAAAGACAAAGTTAAGAAATTTTTAATTTATATTTGAAGAGAAAATTCAAACATAAATATTTATCTCTTTATTTAACGATATTTTTAGCAAAAAAAAAAGATGCGCACAAAGCACAAATTTTATTTAGTAGAATGGAAACACAAGACATTTATAGGCAAAATCTTGAATATGAGTGCCGTTAAAGGAATTTATTTAAGGTTCGTACCGTATAATGAGTGCTGCCAAGCTGTTCGGACTTTCATTATATTTTGTATACAGTCAGCCGTCTATCATGATGATAAATTTTCCATAGACGGCTAACTGTACACAATATAATTGAAAGTCCGAACAGCTTGGCACACTCATATTACCGATAAAACATCAATGTAACTCAAATTCTCGAAAGCCATTCCTGAAAGGACAAAGTTGGCTGCAATAGCTATAATATTAGTCATTTAGTCGATATTATGTTTTTTCGGGAAAATGACTTTCGGAAAATCGTACCGTAACCAGCTTTGTAGAAATTATGTTTACTATATATGAAAACGATCATTATATATATTTATGGGCTAGGTGCTGGAAAAAGACAATTTTTTCAAAATAAATTTTCATAAATCAATTTAGAATATCTTTTTTCACTTAAATTGATTTTCTGAAAATCTTTTTTTCCAGTACCTAGCCCATATATACATTAGAATAATTAATATTGTCTAACCAGTTTATTTAGCACAATAACATTGCTATACGTATAGGTTTTATTCAAATCAATAGAGAAGATGTGAAAATTCTTCAAAAAATTACAGTCATACCTCTTTATAATCACACTTTTGGGACCATAGGAACTTTTTTTAAAAAAATGTTCTTGTAAAGAGGTGTGCTTATATAGAGGTCTTTTGTTATATATCAAATAGTAATTGGGCTTAAATATAGGTGTGATTATAAAAAGGTTTTATATAATGTGATTATATAGGGGGGCGATTATAAAGAGGTATGATTGTATTTCATATGAATGTTACCAAGGAAAAAGGCCGTTCGAACTTTTAAGTATATTATCTGTTATAATCTAAGCCCGAACGGCCTTTTCTCTTGGCCGCACTCATATTAAATTAATATAAAATATAATTAGAACCATTTTATTAAAGTCAAAGTTTGTTGTAATAATTTTGTACTATAGCTTTTTAAAATATGTAATTTTTTAAATTTATTATTAAGTTTATAACACATTTTTCTAAATTTTATTTTTATTTTTTTTCTATTAAATAATACCTAGACTAAGCAAAGTTTTTGGTTCTTATAACCCAACCGAGTCAAATTTTGCTAAACTTAAGAAAAAATTTTCAAACATACAGTATTTACTATCCGGGTGGTTCTTTTTCTAAATCAATGGAAAAAAGCTTTTATATATAATTTTTTAAAAATAAAATTAAAATAAAGATTTTATGTTATGAGAACCAAAAAATTAACCTTATATACTATTTATTGTTAATAAAATTAACTAAAATATTGTAAAGGAAAGTTTTTAAATAAAATTTATATTTAGATTTTTAGGTTTAGAATTAGGAAAGCTACTTTTATTTTTTATTTCCTTTTTTTTAATATCATAATATGGCTTTGACCTCGTTTTATTTAAAACCCAATCTATACTATACTGCTATATATATATTTGTATCTACGTCAATTACAGTATAGTTTACAAACGGTATCGGTATCAATTCAACTAATTAATTATACCGTAAATGTTATGCACCATTTTTCAATTTATGTCATCTGTCAATTGATATATCAGGGTCTTTATAAATACATTTTGCTAGTCTTCAATGTTTTACACCAACTGGGTATTTTCTTTGACTTCATAGTCAGCACTTTATGGTATGTCATTTTTCAATTTCACTGCCTGAAAAATGATTGGGCGATTCTTAATGCAGACAATGATACTGAATGTAAGATAATAAGTAATTCAATTGTAATGATGGACATCACCAATATTTCATGGGATAAAAGTGAACAATCTGCGTCTTCCTAAAGTTTCCTTTACATAATACACGAGATATAGAAAGTAGACCAGCAGTGTGGATTTTTCAAGTTGTAGCGTGAACATCAAATAATCGAATAACCCCTCTAACAGCTCTTTTATGGTGATTATTCTAACGGCGTTTATGGATTGGTGTTAAATAACTATTATTCTAATAGCTCTTTATAGTTAGTGTTAAATATAATAATTATTATAACAGCTGTTTATGGTTAAAGTTAGATAATAAATAATCATTCTAACGGCTCTTTAGCATTAGGATTAGATTTAGTGCTTGAATTAGAATAATCATACTGTATTGTCGTTATATATTAAATTTTCACGAGAAATTTTTTCTAAATATAAATAATTGTATTTATTTTCGAATTATTAAATTTAATAAATGCCTACCAAAAAAACTTTTAAACAAACCACTAAAAAAAAAGAACTTGAGAAAAAATCATAAAACTTGATTGTTTTTTCACGAATAGTAAGATATCAATCTAATTCAAATGTTTGCAATAGTTCCAACAGTTCATAGATTTCTTTTTTGAGATATTTTTATGAGCACTATTAAAATATTCTTTTATTATAGTTCTAAAATACTATTTATGTCTTTAATATGTAATTGTCGATCTGAATATAAGGCATTTTAAAATACTGTATATATGAAAAGATATCAAGCTTCGAAAGAAAATTTACAATCATAAAAAGTATTAATTACTATTGATATTATATAATAAGTTTACAAATTAAAATAAATAAGATTTATGAATCACTGATTCGAAATAAATACATCAATAATTTAATTCGAAATCAAAAACCTGAACCTTAATTCTGAATCGCCCTAATAGCGATAGTTTATAAAATAGAGCTTTAGATCAAAACCCGAAACATGTTCGCGAACTTTCGGATCCAAACCAAAGTTAAGTTTTAATCCATATTTTTTTAAATAGTTCGAGTTCGGGTTTGGTTTGAAGATCAAACCAGATTCAAACCTGGCCCAAAGTTTGATCCGATAGGAACCCTATTATAATGTGACAATAATTTGTTCATAAATTGTTATTCCCCTCTATAGTTACCTCCTCTATAGTCACAACCTCAATATAATCACTTTTTTTTACCAACCTTTTTTATATTATTTATACCTCTATATAGACACAATTGCC